GGGAGGTGTCCGCACGCGCAGTGGGCGTGGCTGAGGGAGGGGGCGGGCGCCCCCGGCCGCGGGAGGGAGACGGGCTCGGAGTGGAGCGAAGGATGCCCCGGCTCCTTTGCTCGGTGGGTCTGATGTTCACCGTCGCTGCGAGTTCAGGCATCAACGATTGTAACCCTGGGCCCAGAACTCTCTGCCACTTCATTTTAATGATCGTGCTTCGCCTTAAGCGGCAAAGGCTACACACACCTAACATTGCAGACTGCAGTTGTGTTTTTACCCGGCCCTGGAGGAGCGGCGAGGAGGAGGGTAGTTGGAGGGCTCCCTAATATTGCACAGGACTGTCTTCTGAAAGTTGGTCGGTCAGTCCTTGGTTTGAGACCCGGAATGCAGTTTTCCAGCAGGCTGGCCCCAAGACGCCTCTGTTTCCTAACCGGTGACCTGGAGGTGGGTGGGGTTGCGTTTCCGTCTTTATGGAAGTTTTAGGGTCGCCTAGTGGAAAGACTCCTAGTTCTGCAGTGCAGCCCTGAAGCCTGTGCTCAGACCCGCTCACCTCCTCTCTCTGGCCATCTCCTGACTAGCTCAGTAGCCAGTGTTCACAGTGTCAGGACGATGTAAGAGCTCATCACCCACGAGCCATGGAGTAATCTGTAATTTCTTTTCATTTTATGCACAACTTTTTTCCCCCTTTGGGGTTATTGTCTGTTCTTTTTTCATTCACTTAGTTCCTTTCTCTCACCAACTCAACCCTAGACTCTGCCTGCTGGCTACATCTTCTCTACATGTTCAGACCAGAAGATAATCTCTCTTTTAAAGAGGGCACTTTTTATATTCGCTGTCAGTGCCCCACCCGAGTCTCCTTGGCACTTAGCATCTTCCCCAACTTCAGCTGTCCCACCTGTGACCCACCTTGGGGGGCTTTCTCTGGTCACTGGAGCCCACTCTGCCTGCGCACAGGGCAGGTGTGACAGGCCAGGGACTTCTTGTCCCCCAGGAGCAGCCTCAAATCCATGATGGATGGGAGTAAGCTCCCTACTTCCTCAGCCCTCAGACAGGATAGCTGAGCCATGTGTCTAAAACTGTCTCCTCGGATTCCCCAGTGGGGTTAGGCTCCAGCTAGCCACGTGGTAACTTGCTTGATAATGTAGTTACCTCCCTACCAGCATGTCTTGGGGTCACTTCCCAAATTAAACTACCTGCATTTGAATCTTCATCTGAGGGTCAGCTTTATGGGAGAACCACAATCAAAATGATTCTGGAGCTTTCCGACCTGTTCTTGCCCATCTGTGCATGGTGCAGGGCTGCCGTTTTGGGGTCTTCGGTACAGCTCACTTCTTAGTATAGACAGCACCTGGCTGGCAGCTTAATTAATGGGGATGAAAAAGTAACTGGAAGAATATTTCTAGAGCTGAAGAGGAAAGAGGGACTCGAGCCACATGCCTCTTACTTTACCATGTTCTACCTAGTATGAGGACAGCAGGACCTGCAGCGTGTCCATTTTACTACACTGCTCCATTGTCTCGTTTTCAAAATGTAAATAGCTTTGCTTTTTCTTACATTAAGAGTAATACCCACTCACTATAAGACAAAATTTAAGAAAGTTTTAAAGAATGTGACATCACATGGAATTCCAACATACAGAATTAAAAAAAACCCCACACAGTGGAGTGATGCTAGGTATGTCTGCTGTTTCTTAACCTCCTTTTACTCCATACATTATTTTCATATATTGTGGTCTGTTTTCATGCAAATATCTTTGTACCTGTTGTCACATTATTTTTTTTAATCCTTACCCCAGGAAATGCTTTTTAAAATTGATTTAAGACAGGGAGAGAAACATCAGTTGGTTGCCTCCCACATGCACCCAGACCCGGGATTGAACCCATAACCTAGGTATGTGCCCTGACTGGTAATCGAACCCACAGCCTTCCGGTGCATGGGAAGATGCTCCAAACCAACTGAGCCAACCTGCCAGGGCCCTGTTGTCAGATTCTTTACAGAGGATAATTCCTAACTGTAGAATTGTTGTGCACTGTGGTAGGCACATTGAAATTACCCTTCAGGAAAGTACAAATTTACCTACCTGCCAATGCCACTCACCTGCATTAAACTGATTCTTCAGTGACTTCCCTGAAGCAGCAGTCAGGAGAGATGCAGTAAATAAGAATAACGGATTGTATTTTATTTCAAGGAAACGTAAAAGGGCCCTTCAGGAACCCTGATGACTCTGTGTGGGCAGCCATAGAAGTAATATGATTTTCACCCCTGTGGATCTCAAAATGGCTCTATTACAGACCTGCTAGAAGTTTCCCCTGTTTTTCCATTTTTGGGTGATCATGATGCCGCTGACTTAAGTCTGTATGGGAACTTGGCTCATATAAAAAGTCATGGTGACAGATAAAGGCCCCTGCTAAAATACATTGCCTTGGGTAAATTACCTTACCTTTCTGTGCCTCTGTTTCTTTATCTGTAAAATAGGGGCAAGAATGGTAACTGCCTAAGGGTGGTTGTGAGGATTTAACTGAGAAAACGCTGCTGACGTGTGCTAGAAAAGTGCCTGGCTCTGTGACATCAGTGGTTAGTGTTATTATATTAGGTAGCACCTGTTGGTACCTGTAGACACATGAGAGTTCATCAGAGTAGTCCACGGACCAGGCTGAGAGGAAAGGAAGGGGTCAGGGTGGGGAGGACAATGGGTGGACGTGTGGAGGTACAATTTGAAGAGGGGTTGGGTCAGCCAAAGGAATGCTTAGGGACACGGAGGAGGTGATAGGAGGGGTCGCCAACCTGATAGAAAAGCTCTTGTGGAAAAATTTAAATACTGCCCTTTTTAGTGGTGTCGGTGGAATTTAAGGGACAACATCAGGAGCCGTAGCAGTGTTGGTCCAGGGAGCAGGGAAGGGACTTGCCCACTCTTCCATGTGGGTCACAGTGCCTTGGAGGTTGAAACCCTACAGTGCCCAGCGTTTGACAAGAGCATCACCAGTTTCCTTGCTGGGTGAAGGAGTGTGGCACCAAGGATGGGAGTAAACCTTAGAGAAAATGAAGCTTGTCTCGCAGGATGCAAATTGCACTTGAGACCATCACCAGGAAGCCACTCAACTGGTTCTAGGATTGTGTATGTGACAAAATAATGTTTCAGAATTTAAAAATAAACTTTAAGATGCCAGTCATATTTTTATTATGCTTGTTTCTACTTGGAATTAAAAAGTTTTACCACCTGGAGCAGTCAAAATGAAAGTGAAGTTAATATTCATAAAATCCATTTGCAGCCCATTTTCCTCCCCACCATGGTTGCTCTCAGTCAGCGGGTGCTGGGTGCGCTCCAGCAAGGGGGTGGTTCTTAATGGGATTTTTTTTTTTTTTTTTTTTTTTAGGTGTTGGAAAAACAACTTTGATCCAGAAAGCCAGCGAGGTTTTAAAGTCGTCTGGGGTGCCTGTCGATGGATTTTACACAGAAGAAGTCAGGCAGGGAGGAAGGAGAATAGGTTTCGATGTCGTCACGTTGTCTGGCCTGCGGGGACCTTTGTCTAGAGTCGGGTACTGAGATTTCATTTCTCTGCTCTTTTATTCTCTCTGGGCACAGGGTCAAGCCACATGCTCTCTTCTATCTTGAAGACTCTAGGCCTTTGGATTTCTTAGAGAAAGAATACAAATTGAAATCATCATATGAAAAACAAAGTATAAAAATACTGTATTTCACTTAAAGCTTACTCCTTGGACAGCTAAGCTCATCTCACTTTGTAATGCGTAGTGTAGCCCTGTTTCTTGTGCTGCTTTTCAGTGCTAGTTGGTGCAGCAGCTCCCTGGAGCTTCGAGTTGGCCCCACCAAGGTGACCACCCGGCCCGTGGCTGGTGGTGGGCACACTTAGTGGTAGTTCTGCTCTCAGGGAGAGCATGGACTCAGGTCAGCTTGCACACCACTGCTCCTTCTGTAGGTGTTTTTTAATCCTCACCTGAGGATATGTTTTTATTGATTTTTTTTTTAAGAGAGAGGAAGGGAAAGAGAGAAACATTGATCAGTTGCCCCCATATGTACCCTGACGGGATTGAACTTGCGATTGAATTTGCAACCTAGGTATGTGTCCTGACGTGGAATCGAACCTGCAACCTTTTGGTGCATGGGATGATGCTCCAATCACTGAGCCACCCAGCTGATGCTGTAGGTGGTTTTTAAAGATGACTTAGCACAAGTGGAAGGCCAAGGGTCAGTGGAGTAGCCAACACCAGCAACCAATGCAGGGGCCTTTCAGCAGGACCTCCCTGTCTCCCCAGGTCAGGGCCTCCTCCTGGAAAGCGAGAATGCCGAGTCGGCCAGTACGTGGTGGATCTGATGTCCTTCGAGCAGCTGGCACTTCCCGTCTTGAAAGTGAGTGTGGTTTCTGCTTCTGGAACCCGTCTGTTGTGGTGCATTGTGGGAGCTGCTGGCCCTGGAACGAAGGGGCTTTGCTCTTAAGGAGAGGCCTGTTCTGCATTTTATAGTTTAAAAGTCTTCAGGATATACAACGTGATTTGCTGTCACTCTGAACAAGTAAATTCCTGGTCACAGACATTCGGCACATACAAAGACTCTATACTGAGAGGGCTCTGGTGTCCAGCTGCCAACGTCCCCAAACAAGTCTTTCTTCTAGTTTCCCTTAGTTTATAATTCAACCCAGTTTTCGCAGCACAAGAAGCAAACATTTAGGAAGGTAAAGTCTCATTATATGGACATAATGGTAAGCACCTAATACATCGTCTCACTCTGTTACCTGTTATTTTTTTAAAACAGGTTATTGAGATACAATTCACATATCATAAGTCACCCATTTAAAATGTACAATTTAATTTTTTCTAGTATGTTCACAGGACTCTGCAACCATTCACCATAGTCTAATTTCACATTTTTCTTAGTCCAAAAAGAAACCCCATGCTTATTAAGAACTCTGAGGCGTGACATTTAAACTGAAAAGATGAAAATATGCTGTCATTTCAGAGAGAGACTATTGTGTGTGGGGTGGAGGTCTGGGGAGAATATTCTGGATGGCGGGAGCAGGTACACTGAGGCCCCAGAGCCCTGGGGCAGGAGGAGAGGAAGAAGGAAAGGTTGGTGAGGTGGGTGAGGCCACATGATGCAGGGCCCTATGGACCATACTAGGGAATGTGGGTTTCATTTAATCTGTTATAGATGTACGATTTGATTTACTTTTGTGAAAATTGAATGGTACAGACCTATATCAAGAGGCCATTTTAAACCTTTCAGAAGTTTCTTTTGCGTCAACAATAAAGTTCAAGGTCCTGGCCAGGAAGGCCCTGTGCTATCGACCCTGGTAACCACCATACTAGCTCAAGCATACTAGCCTTCCAGGGCCATGCTAACCATTGCCCTTGGCACTTTCCATTTTCTCTGGGTGGCATACTCCTCAGATCTTTGCTTCTCTGCTTTTTTGACATTCAGGGCCCAGCTAAAATGTGCAGCGAGGGGCTTGAGTAGCTTCCCAAGGCTATGGGAAATTTTAGCCCTAGCCTGCCAGGGACAGTTTCTGATTCCTAGGGCTGGCAGTGCCCGTGCTCTGTTTGGTAGGGGGCTGCCGCTCCTCTGGGCCCACCTGCTTTGCTTTCTTCCTCTTGCCTGCTTCTCCCCCCTCCCCCTTTCCTAAGTTCTTACTCTTGGAACGTCCCTTATTCCCTGAGCTGGGGACTGTGGTGGGTGTTGTGCTGCATGGGAGCGGTCAGAGAACATGGCTTTTCTTTTCCCATCACATACATACCTCTCTACTCAGATGTTCAAAGGCAAGTGAAATACTGCAAATGACATTCCAGATGGAGGCTCTGGCTTTGTCATGGGATCAATACAAAGAATTGATTTTACTTGCCTGGCTCAGGGCAGACTGGATCCTGGGAGAGCACACTCGCTGAGTGTCTGTCTGCAAAATCCTACAGGAATCGCTGCTGCTGGACTCAGAACTGACTCTTTTAAACAAAAAGTAAAGCAGACTTCTCCCACCTGTTTATACTCTGATGACCAAACCCGCACATTCGCATTCAAGGTAGGAAAGGTGCACAGGGTGCGGTTCTTACCCTGTCTGGGTCACAGGGTTCTTTTCTTGAAGCAGAGGTTCTGTCCCATCTCGTGTATTTTATTGAGCTGAAGAAAGGAAAAAGAATGAGTGTTATGTCTTTATACTTTAAAAAAAAGCAAGTGAAAAGTTAAAAGTAACAGGCAACAAAAATAGGGGAATAGAAAAAGAGTTTCTGTATCGCAGTTGGAGTGAGCAACTGAAGTGAACTGGAAGCTGTAGACAGCACCTCCAGGCAGGGCAATACTGTGGTGCGGATCGATGGTGTGTTAGTTTATAGTTCATAGTGGTATGGGAATGAAGGACAACACAAAACCTGACAAGTGTCTCCCACGGGACCGTAAGAAAAACAAAGCTTTGGGCTGGGACGCAAGACTGGCTGGGAGCCATGGGGGCAGGACCAGCCTGCAGGAGGTCAGGCACTACCCCAACCCCTCTGGCGGTGGAGCTAGTACTTCCTTTCCATAGTCAGGATGGGGTCCCATAGTCCTTCATGGGCACACGTGGGAAATAAAGAAGAATCTAGTAACACCAGAAACATTCTAGGTACAGTAAGTTTTCTAGAAAGCCTTTCCTGGGTTTGACGATTGTTGATTTTTTTTTTTCACTCCATGGGTGACTTCTTTCCTTATTGGACCACATTTATTGTTTTCTTGAGTATTTAAATTCTACATATTCAAGGTAGGAAATTTGTAAATACATATATATGAATAACTGAGTTTAACCACTGTTTGCGTATTTTATTTCTGCCTTTTTTCTATACCTAGTTTATTTGTTCAGCCATCCGAAATTGGGAAAACATTGTATATAGTTTCAGAGGCTTGGGTTTTTCCTGTAATGTGGTTGAGTGACATGGGAATGGTCCTACGACATGATAATCTTCACAGCCATGATATTGTAATGATTGCACTTGATTTCATGGTGTGGATTTTCATCTTTATTTAACCAACATTTCCTTGGTGTCAGACATTTAGGTTATTTACCACTATTGTAGGGTAACCTTGCCACAGACACCCTTGTGCATCAGTCTTTTTTCTCCAGCCATGATTGTGTCTCTGGGAAGGATCTCAAGGTGTAGGTACCAGGTGGAGGCCTGTGAATCGTCTGGGTTTGGCCATGTGCTGCTGGGGTGTCCTGGTGATGGCTCTGTCCTTGTTCACCCCACCTACTGCCACTGTGTGAGCACTTGTCTTGCTGCACTTTGGCCAACACTGAACTCTATACTAATTTTTGGTATTAAAATAGATCTTTGCTCTGATTTTGCATTTTTTAGTAATGAGGGCAAATGTTTTTCAGTTATTTACCAGGTATTTTTTAAAATCTAAATTGTTCATTCCTTTTGCTTAAAAGAGATCTTTTCTAAGGTGAATAACCTTTTTATATTGATTGATTGTATTTTTCTCAGTTGTCTGGCAATTTCTTTTTCTTTTTTTTTTAACATTCCAAGTTACTATGTTTCTTCTTTCATGTACATATATATATATTTTAATCCTCACTGGAGAATTTTTTTTTCATTGCTTTTCAGAGAGAGTGGAAGGGGGGGAGAGAGAGAAACACTGATTGGCTGCCTCCCGCATGCCCCCGACCAGGGCGGGAATCAGGCCTGCAGTTGAGGTACATGCCCTTGACCAGAATGGAACCTGGGGCCCGTCAGTCCACTGGCTGTGCTCAAACTGTTAGGGCTCTTGTACACGCTTTTTAAAAAACATTTGTTTTTAATCCATCTGGGTTTATTTTGAATGTAATATACAGTCACACTCTCGATTTTCTTCCAAATACTTAGCCAGTTTAGTAAAACCATTTGTATATAACCCATTTCTCATTAGTTTTTTATGCTTCATTAATTATATTCAAAAATGTGTGTGTGTAATGTTTTAGGGTTATCGTCTCTCTTCCGTTGATCTGTTTGATTCTTACATCAGTACCATACTATTTTATTTACTATAGTAATCAGTTGTATTATTCTGAATTGTCTTATCCTTTCTTATTTGTCCATTTCTCCAAATTGTAGTGGTAGCCGTGGTGGTGATGTGGTGGTGGTGGTACCAGTAGGTAAGAGTTATTGAGTGCACGCTGTGTGCTAGGCACTAATTCATTTAATCCTCAGAGTAACACGTCACTCTTCCTGTTTTACAGATGAGGAAACTGAGGCATAGAATAGAAATTAACCTGCCCAGGGACACGCAGTTTATAGGTAGAGCTGGCATAATTTGTAGAGTGGATACTTTGTTGTCATTATGAAGAGTGATTGGAACTATACAAGCGCAGTTATTCAGATACAAAGAGCGTCTGATGTTCTAGACAGCCTCCCCCTCCACGGCCTCCGCCTTGCACCACCTTCATCCCCTTCCACAGCCTCCACCTGCCACGGCCTCCATCCCCCCCCACGGCCTCCACCCTCCACGGCTCCCATCCCCCACCCCTACCCCGCACGGCTGAACGCGATCTCTCCCTTTGGAATGTTCTGGTAAGGCCATCCAGAGGTCTCCTCTGTTTCTGCTGCTGCTGCGGTTAGGCTTGTTTTCCAGGTTTCTGGTGATCGAGGCAGCGGGAGAAGGCTGGCCTTTCTCATGTGGTTCTTGACAGCCCCGGGTGCTGCATTAGGTTCGGTGCACTGTGGGATTTAACATTCTGTTGGTTCCCGTTTTGTCTCCTACTCACTTGAACAGGTACCAGTCGGTTATAATGTTTTAAAGAACAAAGGACATCTCCTCAAAGCCCTGTTTTTTAGGCTCAGCAGTGTCATTTTTAGTAAAGATCTTGGAAGGAATAGTAACCTAGACCCAGACACCCAGTGAAAGTCAACAGAGCTTGAACCTTGTATTTCCCTGTTTTGATCCAAATATGGCACTTAGTATATATTTGTTTTTGAGAGCAGGATCTGCTTTTGATTCTGAAGTAAAACTGCTTCAGATCTTTGAAGTTTCATTTTCAGGCAAGAGACCTGTCCAGGGAAAAGCTATTTTTGTCACTTGACCTGGAAGTGCCACTTAGCTTTCCAGGCCAGCAGGCTTTAGAGAAGATTTAGGAAAACCAAGGTCTAGTCAGGGTCCATTCTTGAAAGGTTGACGAGCACCCGGGAATTGCTAGAATTCCCTTCACCGTTGGCAGACACGGCCTTTGCGGCTCTGTCTCCCCTTGCTTTCTGTTCCTATACTTCACGGCCCCACGTGTGCATTGCAAGATCAGCCCGGGAAGTTCACAGCTACCTTCTGCAAACAAAAATTAATTTAAAAATTGTCCATAAAAACATTCCTGCCATGAATCAAGATAGGAGATGAGCTGTGAGTTTGGTGTGAGGTGGGCTGCA